GAGGTGGGCGTGGCACACATTAGGAGCGGACGGAGCGGGGCGTGACAACATCCAATCTTGGACACTGAAGAAAACTCACAGAGAAGTGGTTGACTCAGAGGCTGCACAATAGTTTTGGATAACACTTTGGATGTGATTTAATGTAATGTAAAAATAAATTGAAACTCACCTTGAACAAAGGCACGAAGGAACTATACAGAGTACATCCATTCCCGAATCTTATTCTTTTCAATCACTGGAAGAAAGAGCTGGTACTGCAGCTGTACGTGTTGCTTTTTGGTGCTGGTAGGTGTTGTTTTTCTTCTTTTGGCATTTAATAGCAGATTAGAACAGTTGTGTGTATGTTGCATGTGTCAGGTTTGGAAGAATCGCATCCCCAGTACCCATGGTACTGTAGAAAAACGAACACTTGTTTTCAAAATACTGGCATCGACTTGGTACCGAAGTATCGGTTCTTGTGACATCCCTAGGTACTCCAGTGTGGTTGACCTTCATTTCGCTTTTAGGTGCTATGCAAAATCACTTTCTATAATAGGAAGAACCCTGCAATTGCAGAGCATTTGAATAGGGCTGCACAATTCTGAATAAATATGAATTACAGTATTTTTCACTGAGAAGCACAATCAAGATTCTTTATTATTATTATTTTACATTACAGACTGCCTTTATGAAGACAGCAAATAATATGCGGAGATACACAATATATGTTAAGATACTGAAATAGCTTGTCTGATATTTTAATTTTATCAATATTCAAAGTTAGCAGCACTAAAGCTACTGAAATTATGGTGATGATTGCATTGGACAGTCAGCCATTCTCCATCGCGTAATGATGGTTTTCAGTTGTAAATTATCAGAGGCATACCCATGCTCACACGACCAAAAGCATTACCAAACCAAGCTGGTTGCATCACCACCATCTGACTGGTCGAAATGCAAGGAGATACCAGTGTTCTGCATCAATATAAATTAAATATCTGAAAGAAAGGCTTGATGTTTTGCATACTATTTATAGCATGGGTGATTTCCTGCACCATCAAAGGTGCGTCAAGATCCATAAGTTCTTGGTCTATTAGAGGGAAATTGAGACTAAGAAAGAATGCATATCAGTTGTTTTAGATGGAAATTCAGACTTAGTAGAAAGTATACAATGCAGAATTAATGACAGTGAGGTCCTTAAGTAGAACACCCTGTAAGTCTTTAATCTGAGGGATCATCAAGTGTGAAGCTGCCCATCGATGTACTTGGTGGACTAAGAGGCAGTTTGCTTTGTTGCCATAATATGGGGAACGAGAGTGTAAAAGAAGGCGCTTTGCATCAATGGTTATGATGAGATCAAATTCAATCTGCAGCTCAACGTGGTGTTTGAATTGGTTGGGAGAGGGGGAAGTAGCCAGTTAGTGGTCCAAATTACTGACAGGATAATGCAGCAAAAAGACGAAGATAATACATTTTGTCTGTGACGAAGAGAAATGAAGTTGGTAGCAGATGGATAATTGTTTTCCTGAGCATTGTCACGGTAAGACACCGTCGACTGTTTTATTCTATTGCATTTCTGAACTGTTTGCACGAGTGGAAGATTTTTTTGATCGGCGTGTTAATCCTGTCGTTTTCGACGATTGAACATCTAACGTTACATCAAAATTTTACTGCCCGAAATAAGTGTTGTGATTTAACGTAACGTTAACCTAGCTTGCAACGTTACACGTAATGTTAGGTTAAAACCCGAGTGAATAGTTCAGTCTGTTCTTAACTAACTTACTCACAAATTAACTTTGATTTATCTTTTATGATGTCATTCGGACTGTTATGCCGAAAAAGGCATCCCTGCCTAGAATGCATGCCGGTGTTCCGACGAGTTAAGCTTTTAAGGGTTTTTTTGGGGTCATGGGTTTTTTAGGGGTTAGGGTTTTAGTGGTGGTTAGGGGTTAAGGGGGGTTTTAGAGGTTTTTTGGGGGTTAGGGTTAGAGTTTTACGGGGTTTTTGGGGCTATTGATTAGCACTACGCTAGCCTTACTCGACAAAGTAGCTCAACTCGTTTCAGAACAGCGACCAATCGGTCATTTAGAGACAGGCATGCATTCTACGGCAGGGATGCCTTTTTCGGCATAACACGTGTTACCTGCATTTGATTGTCTGTTCATTTATATTTCAGCAGTTACTTTATCTGGTAAAGATCGACTGAGCCTTACAGTTATAGTTCACAAAATTACATGGTGTCAGTTTTCAACGATAGAATATGTGAAATCGAAATGATAATGCTTGAAATGTGACGTGCTAACGTTATATGTTCCTGTCTGTCAGCGCGTTGTGAATTAGACTGTACAAGTAGGTACCTCGGGTAAACAGTTCAGTCTGTTCACAACTAACGTTATTCACCAATTAACTTTGGTATGCCTTTTAAAACGTAAAGATTCATCATGCCATTTACACGACCTGGATTTGATTTTCGATTCATTTTTTATTTCAGAGTAATCTGATGAAGATCGATCGAGCGCCAAAGTAAGTTAATCTTAAAAGTTAATTTTACAGTTATAATTAACTTGTTCATAAAAATGATGTGGTGTCAGTTCTGTGATAGTGCATTTGAATCCGTCTTATCATACTGTCAGCACATGAAAATGCATGGTCATGTTCCTAATGCTTATTTTAAATGTGGTATTCCTGATTGCCCCAGAAGATTCAAAAAGTTTGCTGCTTTTAAGGCTCATATATTCAGGGATCACAAAAAGAGGGACACAAAGACGTCTGCTGAGCAATTAGGTAATGCTTACACTTTAGTCTGTGACATTGGTGTCTGTCAGGAAAGATGTAGTGATTTAAGAAACTTCATTTTACACCTGAAGTCTCATATCAAAGAAGGCACTAGAGTGCCTTGCCCATTTCAGTGTAATAAAAGCTTTTCTTTTGCATCAACACTGACCTCACATATATCCAGGTATCACTGCAACTCCTCAGCAGATAGGTTTCGCCATAATATACTACATTTGAATTTTTCAGTGCAGAGACCAAATGGTGAGGAATGCAATGTGGCTGAAGACTCAAATGCACTGTCTGATTTGTTTATGGATTGTGGTGATAGTGAAGAGCAGGTGGATATTGCACTATTGCCAGATAATGCAAATGAATCACTTTTTTTTGAAGAATATGGCTCTGTTTTATCTCAAATTGCAGGCAAAGCACATTCTCCCATCATCTGTAATTCAGTCAGTAATTGAGGGGCTGCAGGACATCCATGATATTAGCCAGTCTCATTTGCTACACATGGTAAGTGAAAAATTAACTACACTTGGCATTTCTGAAACTGATGTAAAGAATGTTGTAGACATTATGAAAACTGATGATCTTTTTCAGATGTGTAATACCCATGCACTACACACTGATAAGAGGAGAAAGTCTTTCTATAAAGCCAATTTCAAGTATGTTGAACCTGTCCCCATCTGCCTTGGTAAAAACGAATCTGGCAAGGAAAGCTTTGCTCAGTACATTCCCATTAAGCAAAGCTTAGAAGCTCTGTTCTGCTGTAAATCAGTTATAGAACAACATAAAAATTCACGATCTACAATTAAAGTAAATGATGTCCTCAGTGATGTATGGGATGGCAGTAATGTTGATGACAATGTGCTGTTAAAAGATGATACAGATTTGTTGGCTTTAATCTTGTATCAAGACGCTTTTGAAGTGGCAAACCCACTTGGATCTGGCAAAAAAAAGCACAAAATTCTTGCTGTTTACATGACACTTGGAAACCTGTTTCCTTACTGCAGGTCAGGAATTGACCACATGCAGCTTGTTCTGCTGTGTAAGGAACAAGATTTAAAGTTTTTTGGCCAGGATTTGGTTTTTGCCACTCTGGTACAAGATCTTAAAGACCTTGAGGAAAATGGGGTTCTCTTAGCTGATGGAAAGGTTCACAAAGGTACACTATGCGCAATAGCAGGAGATCACCAATGTAATGGGATCCAAGGTTGCTTTGTGGAAAATTTCAGTAGAAGTAACCACTTTTTTTTGTGAAATTGACCGCCAAACATTTCTTTCAGCACCCCTGACAAAGGCATTAACGAGAACTGTAATGTCATATGAGCAGAATCTTAGGGATTTGGATTCAGGTGCAGCTGAAATTGCTGTTGGTGTCAAATGCAATTCTCCATTTAATGACCTAAAGTACTTTCACGTATGCCAGCCAGGATTACCTCCCTGTCTAGGACACGACCTTTTTGAAGGTGTTGTGTCATTTGACCTTGCTTTGTATGTGGATCACCTTGTAAATCAAGAGATGCAGTTCACTTACACTGAACTGAATCGCCGCATTAGCCAGTTTAAGTATCTGGGGAATGATGCACGTGATAAACCAGTTAACGTTACTCTTGGTACTGGGAAATTAAGTGGACATGCAGTGCAAAATTGGTGCCTGCTCAGGCTTTTACCTCTTTAGGTAGGGGAAAAAATTGCCAATCCAACTGAAAATGAGGTGTGGCAGTTAATACTTCAACTTAGACAAATAGCAGAGCTCATCTGTGCTCCTGTAATTAGTCGGTCAGATTGCTTATTTAGCAGTTCTAATTGAAGAGTATATTGAGACTAGAAAGATGTCTTTTCCAAGTCATCCACTTAAACCGAAACACCACTACATGTCCCATTACCCTGAACTCATTGAACGTTTTGGTCCACTCATTCGCTTGTGGACGCTGCGTTTTGAGAGTAAGCACTCGTACTTTAAACAGTGTGCCAGAAAATTGCACAATTTCAAAAACCTGAGTGCTACATTGGCAGAAAGACATCAGCTTCTGCAGGCTTACCTAAATTCAGGAAGCATTTTCCCTGAAAATGTTGTGGCAGAGAAAGGGACAGAATTTCATGCAAGTGACTACAACGATGACATTCAAGGATCTGTTGCATGCTTTCACTTTGAACCAGGGAATACACTGGCATCAAATGAAGTGACAGTGAAGGGCACACTTTACAAAAAGAACCTGCATGTCATTTTGCAGAACAATGATGAGGGAATTGTGTTCGGGAGAATTCAGTTAATTCTTGTTCATAACAATTCCAGTGTGTATTTTGTCACACAAAAATGTCAATCTTTTTGTCTTGTAGACCAGGGAGTTCATTGCTTGACATCTCAAGATAAGGGTTATTTGTGCATAAACCAAGACAGCTTACTGGACTATTACCCACTTCCTAAATACTCTCTGTGTGGCTTGTCAGTTATTATTCTCCACCATTCTTTCCCAATTCTAGAATAATGTCTGGATTGAAAGAAGCATTGAAAGATGCAGTACTGTCAGTGTTGCCAAGCCTGTCTCCAGATGTTATCAGTCAACTGGTTGAGAAGCTCACGAATCAGGGAGTGGAGGGTTTAGATGATTTGATTTATGTGAAGGAAGATGACATTTTGGAGTTCATCAGACCTATCCAATGCAGGAAACTTCTTAGTGCCTGGCAAAATCAAGGTAGAGATAAGATTGTTTATTTTAAAAAAGTGATCATTTAAAATGTTACATTGCATTACAGTACTTTTTCTGACAGATTTTTTTGTTGTACATAATTTACAGAAAAACAAAACCAAACTGTGGTTTTGCAACCAGTTGATGTTCTCCCATTGGTTCCCTGTGAAGCCAGCACTACTCCTGATG